CCAAGTTACAAGCTGATTGAGTGCGACTGTACTGTAATCCAATCTAGCCGCTGCACCAATCACAGCGTGACCTTTTGCTGCGCGCTGACCTATCACATTCCTCGCGCGGTTACGGTAAGAATACAACCGCGATCGTCACCGACACTGGCGAAGCGGTCACATAAGAGAATGGTCATATTGTTCTAAATGCTCGCTTTCTGTTGGGATGGCCCTGTGGTTTGAGATGGGTTATCTCTAAGTTGATCGCTGTATCAACTTTCATCCGAAGTCTATGCTCAAAATGGCTTCTGTCACGAGTTATTTAAGATGTGCCATTCACAGCTAATAAATTTTCTCTAGGACACATTTCCTGGTCGAGGAAATTTCGGAAATTTACAACAGAAATTTACTGAACCCCAATCAGCTCTATACTCACCTTATCGTGAATGCGATCAAGCTGTCTATTTTGATTCGAAACTTCTGTACTCATATCAATAGCCATGTTTCGAAGGTTACCAACCATTGTTGATACCTGAATGATTGAAACTGTATCGTGAATCGGGGAATAGTTACTGAATGACAAGGATCAAACCTGTTGAATATTTTCGTCCATTTCGTCTTCACGTGCATCATTTGTAATCCTAAAATTAGCACTCTTTTTGTGGATGAACAAGGAGCTAGATTTCATACCTGGTAACGTAGCCTCCTTGTGGTCCCATAGATGCATCACCAACGGTGATTCGTGGTTGGTCTGAGATTACACCGCCATCGTCATCCTTCTTCCACGCTTTGGCGTATTCGGAATTCTTTTCAAAATCATCGGCTCTGTAGTGGCATTTCATATGTGAAGCTTAGAAAGCGATATAAAATTTAGGAATCATGATAACGATACTACACATAAGGAATGCATATTTCCCGCAAACCCTTTAGCAAGATATCTTAACACGGTTAGGTTGTCATTTTTGCAATAATGGAACAATTTCTTAATTTAAATCGTGCTTACTTGTTCCAAGGTAAGACACAAAGTCCACAGCATTTCTCCATGCCCTTCAGGTGTTCTTCAGCTTCTTTCATGTCCGTATTGATAGTGTCCAAAGCTCCTTCGCATCGTTCGAGTTGCTCTGTAAGATTAGATAGATATGTTGAAGACGATGATCACAACGTTGTGGGAGATAACTGCACTTCTGTTTCAAGCTAAGGAATAGAAGTTGGAAAAATTCTGTTTTGATCTACATTTCCGCCAATTGCATATTCGGTACAGCTGCTTCTTTTACTGAAAACATGGCGCGTGAAGAAAAGGATTTAAAAATTGCACTGCTGAAAATTTCAAAATTCATTGGCATAAATCTCATTCTCATTGATCATTGATTTTAAGAGATGCAATCCACTTCAAATTTCTGATAGTTGCAGAAAAGATATAAACTTTCTTACCTCCTTGATCATCTAGCATGACCAACGTTTTAATACCAGCTTCTTTGCTCTGCAATGATAAATCATTAGATGGTAAGTTTTATCTTGTACAGTCGAAAATTTGGCTATCAAAGTATAAAAAAGTAAAGAGGAATTCAACTCACTTCTTCGCATAATGCAAGCATTCGTCGTGTTGATTCGAGTGACTGAAAATAAAAATGAGATTATAAAATGAACAAAGATACAAAAATTTTTGCTTTTGCAGGCAAGCACCGAGTGTACTATTGTGTAATATGTACTCTTCTCTACTCAAATTTTCCCTTATTTACTCCATCCATATAAATTACTCTCATGTCATTTTTACATTTTCCTGGAAATGAGATTTTTCTTTGTTTGGTTGGAGCACATGCTTCCATAGCTAATTTTTACAACTGCAGCAAGAACGCATTACTTCAACATCTTGTATATTGTGTTTTTTTTTGATATCTTCGCTCACCTTTTTTGATATAGTCAATTTTTCGATAGTGTGGATTGAGCTGAGCTTAAGCTCGCTGAGGAGGCGTAAATCGTAGATGATCCGATTTAAAAAAAA